ATTAGTCAGGAAATGGGCATGTTTGGAGCACGCCCAGCATCAGCTCGTGAGGTGCGTTGAGGTTTGCAGCAATGTGGACTATCAGCAGGGGGACCATTACTTCGGCTTCCTTTGATAATATAACATAGAGAGAGACGGAGAACGACGACAAAGCTGCGTACAGGAGTGGCACAATGTCGCTTTTCAAACGAGTCTCGGTTTTATGTGCAGCATTCTAATGGCCGTATACGTGTCTGGAGCGTCCGAGGAGACCGCACGTCGCCTGCTTGCATTCGATATCGACATAGGGGCCATGCACCTGGTATGATGATTTGGGCAGCCGTTGGGTATACGACACGCACATCTCTAGTTCGGATCGACAGTATTTGAACGCAGATGCGTACATTTCTGACATCTTACGTCCAATGGTTGTGCCCTATCTTCGAGGCCCCCAAATGCCATGTTCCAACAAGATAATGCAAGACTACACGTCGTGTTCTGACCTTCGTCGATACACAGGGTATTCGAATGCTGCCCTGGCCTGCACTGTCTCCAGATCTGTCAGCCATTGAAAACATCTAGTCATGAGTTGCTGAGAGACTGGCTCGCCCCCCCCCCCATCTGCAGCAAATAGGATTGATGATATATGGCGTAGACTTGAACAGCATGTAGTGAGTTGCCCATTTCTACCATCCAAACCCAGTTTGACTCATGCCTAATGGGGTAAGGGTCGCTTTAGCTTCCAGGGGTGGCAGCTGTTTTTGCAATTTCGCACGCCTGTAAAACCTCCAAAATGATTACAAATTTAACCATTTTGTCTTCATGGCATATTATTTACGTGGAATAAATATCGTTTTTATATTTACTTTCCTTCATGGTGTTGCAATTTTAATGGCCAGCTGTGTCGAAGTGAATCTAAGGAATTTTCTTCTTTCTCGTCGCGTACTCTCATACAATAAATGGATTGGTCCACATAGCAATCGGAAGATGGAGAGTTTGAATCACGGTTAGGGCATCGCTGATTTTTCGTCAGCTTGATTTCGATTCATTCAGATTTCCCTTTAAAATCTAATTTGATTATAATAGTTAGGACCTAGTTATTTTTAAAAAATTAATTTTGCATAATTTGTATATTTAAATTTAATTTGATATATTTTGCATATTTTATTTGTATCTTAGTTCCCCTTCACTATTTTTTGAGTAGTGGAATCAATTTTAGGACGTCATACTCAGTATCATCTGTCATTCAGAAAGTTTTCTCAAAATCACCTCATCTTTTACAACGATAATTACAATAGTTCCTTTGTGCTACAACTCTGATATACGCCCTAATTTCACCAAATGTGGCGATATGTGTTCTGCGCTGGTTTTTGGCGCATTGTATTTTTATTGTTTTTGGCGCGATTGTTTTTGGTTTTTGGCATGATTGTATGGCAACCCTGTTGACGTTGAAAAATCTTTCGCTGGAGTTCGTTGGTTCCCGTCATGCTTTGTGTCTGAGAAGCTAGGGGGAAAGATTTAATGGTGAAAGTTGTTGAATTGAAGTCGGCATAAGGAAATATCGTCGTGGCCATCCTGTTGAGGGGAAATGGGTATTTGGAGGTGTAGAAAGAAGGTATGGGAGATTATTTTTAGTGGCTGTGCGTGATAGAAGTAGGGATTTGTGATTATTTGTTATTTTATTTATTTGTGAACCATAGTATGAATTTTCTGGATAGTGTGTCTGGCTGTCATATAAATACGATAGTGATTACGTGGCGGCATGTTAAAGGCGGTATGAAATTGGTATTTCTGCTGTTCGAAAAAGCATTAATGGTAAGTGCATTTTATTTTATTCTTGTTCTTATTTTGTAGAATGTTATGTTCATTGTTTTTTTAGTATGAATTTCTGTCGTTATTGTTGTTTTGTTGAATTGTTTGAAATTTATTTTAGTTATTTTGTTGATTAGTGCGTACTGTCTAAATTGTGCAACTCGTAGATGTTTTTTAAAGTTGAAACAGAACGCTGTGTACATGGTATTCTTTGAAATTTATTGTTGTTATGTTAATTTATTAAAGTGAGGTGTGCGTAGTTCGTAGATTCGTTTATTGCCTAAATTGTGCAATTCGTAGATTTTTTTAAAGTTTAAACAGGATGCTGTGTACATGGTATTCTTTGAAATTTATTGTTATGTTAATTTATTAAAGCGAGGTGTGCGTAGTTCGTAAATTCGTTTGTAGCCTAGATTGTGCCATTCGTAGATGTTAATTTATTAAAGCGAGGTGTGCGTAGTTCGTAAATTCGTTCGTAGCCTAGATTGTGCCATTCGTAGATGTTTTTTTAAGTTAAAACATATCGCTATGTAAATGTACATGGATTCTTGTCAAATAATTAGATTTACAAATCGGTTAGAAACTTCACGGTTTTGCTATCTAAATTTTTTGTTTTTGTTTCGGATTTTTAGCTTAAATTGTGTGTTCAAAACGTGGTTTTTGGAGACATTTTAGTCTTAAAGTTCGAAATGTAGACACAAAATTTAGATAGCAATATGGCAGCATGATTTGGCGAGAAATTTGGCCCCTTGAGGACGCATATCAGAGTAGTTCCGATTTTGTTTCAGCTGGTTATAAGAAAATTGAGTAGTTATAGGTTTTGTTGGATCTTTAATGAAAGATTTATGTGAGACTGAAAAGATTTGAACAACAATTAACAATGTATTAATACGAAATTTGTTATCAATTGATTGGAAAAGACATTCTTTGTAATAACAGACGAAAAGAAATTTTCCTGCTCTAATAAAAGTTTAAGTCATATATTTAGTTAATTCCCTCCCGCCGAAGCTGAACTTTCATAATTGTTGTAGTTTGAGAAAGACAATTATATGAACGAATTACAGAGTATCAACTGCAGACACAAAACAAAAGTTTCAAGGAATACTCTCTGCTTTTTTAATATTCCATTTGAAACTGCTGCGGTATGACAGATATTCGAACTAAAATAACTGCAATCTAATACATTTTGTTTTCCGCAGCAGTTTTCAAACAAAGAAACATTTAAGCAGCCACGTTTCTAATTCAGATAAGATATTTTTAAAATATGCAAGATCCAACGCTAGCGGACTTTTTAAACATAATCTTAGTATAAAGTGACTTGCTTTAGTAATTATCCGTCTTAGTAATCGCTGATATTGATTTTATATTGAACGACATGTTTGAGGGTCGTTGATTGGGCATATGCTTTCCGTCTCGCCCGAGATGGACAGCATTTTGAACATTTCACTCAAAGTATGGTATGACTCCCTTAATTATTTCATGTTTATAAATTTCTATAGTTTTGATCCTGGTATGAATGATCTGGTTTAGATTACCAACTTGCAGAAAATAAACGAATCTAAATAAAACAGTTTAAAATGATTTGGAGGCTTCTTGAAAGTGAAGGCGAGGGTCACGTGTCCCATTTTTCTTGTGGAAATCGGAGCCTGATCTCCAGAAGTTAAGATGTAGATAGTTTGTTTCTTACTTCAGATAATAACAATACTCCTAAAATTAAACACGTAGATGAAAGATACATTCATTATATTTTGTAAAAATTAGACTGCACTTTCGCAGTAGTCTTGGTAGAATTTGGAGTTATTTTCCTGTTTAAGATTTTGAGCTTTTCATATCAAATTTCGTTTAAAAACAAGAATTCGTTTGAATTTATTCATTACACCATCAACAGACTTAAGATTATAGTTTCATCCGGCAGCATACATCTCAGTTTCGTACCTCTTCCCTCATTTGCTAATTATGAACCATCACTTTTTAATTATGAAGATCATTTTTATGGTCATTTTGATGTATTGCAGTTCATAACTATTTTTGTTATCTGATTCGTTTTCACTAAAATGCAGAGTGAGCTCTCGAAAATGATCTCGCATGGTAATTTTAATTGAACAAAAACACGATTTATTATGCCCTTACTGACAGATATGATATTTCGCAACTGCTTAAAAAGACACAGGTATGTATTTCATTTCGTTATTTCAAAAGCATAAATCAGTTTCACAAAAATAAAATCTTTTCTTCCAAAAATAATGATAGAGTGGTTAAACATACAACTGGCCGCGGTTCTACATATAAATATCTCCAAGTTCAAGTCTAGAACCGATTTCGTTTTGAAATTTTACGTGCTACAAAATTGGTTAGTTTTAGTAAAATAATGTAATTTCACCTTCAAAGCTAAAATGGTTTAGAAGTTGTAAAGATAGAAGCATTTTCAGCGATCAACTTGAACGTTGCAGGGGTTTTAATTTAAATTTTGCCTTCACTCTTATTCACTATACAGCAGGGCTTCTTAAACTTTTTTCAATCGCGACCCCTTTTTATCATTGACACTTTTTTGGCAACCCCAGATATCAAATATAAATTAAAGATATAAAAATAAATATCCTCCCCGAAATAATTTACTTTTTTTGGTAAACGATATACATATAAAAGGAAGTAGTTTTAGGATTTATTTTAAGAAAGCAAACATTAGAGAAAATTCCAATGAGACAGATGTGCTCGTTTGCTGCTGAATAACAAATTAAATGTTGGTGTGATATTTGACACTGCTATCTTCAGCATGTTTCAACGTTGAACGACACATGGTTTTAATTAGAGCTGAAGAAGTAGTTTTATAAAAATAATTGGTGCTGAATGAGAGAAGAACATTTAATGCCATTTCATAAATAGTGAGAAATATAATTCTAACTCCGGTCCAAAATTCATCAAGGAGTTTTGCGAAATCTCAAGTTTTAGGTTTGAATTGCTAGATAGTTTTACAAATTCCTTTTGCTGTTTATGTAACGGTAATTAATCTCATTATTGTGAATAAGTATAGCTTCTTTAAAAGTCTTATGAATGCAGTTTCTTTAAATTCAATTATTGAGTTGAATTTTCGCGATCCCAAAACTTAGATTTGCGATCCTATTAGGGGTCGCGACCCATATTTTAAGACACCCTGCTATAGAGCACATTTTATTAACACATACAAAAGTATAATAAATTGGGTGACTTACCAACTGTTTGGTTGATCTGCCTATCTGCCATGACAAACCAGGAATTTCGAGAATGTGAGAAATCAAGAAGTCGGAGACGGTTTATATAACCACTATAATTCCCAGTGAAGAGGATTTAATGTAAGTAAACCTAAAATAAGTTTCTTCCTAATAATCTATGAAAAGCGACTAAGCTCCTTGCAAAATGCGCATAGGACGTCTACCCACGATGGGAAAAGTCCCGCCGGTGCAAAGATGATGCTATTGGCAGAAATTCTAAGGTTCGTTAGGACGATTATAAGCTTCCTAAGGCTGCTGGTCTATAGGGAATAACTTCCAGATGTAAGATGCTGTTTTTAGATGATAAGACTCACACAACTTTATACTACAATCCCCCAATGGGCCTTCTCTGCAAGAAAATACTATTTGACTGATAGAAGTATATATTATTAAAAGTATGAAACTTTTCTCTGGTGTAAAAAATTGTGAGCTATTAATTAATTAGTAAATAGAATCATCACGTTAATCATTCAGAACAGCTTCGAGCATTCTTTGAAAATAATACATTTGTCTTCCATGCTTTCAATACCGAGATACGAGAGTAACCGTGTAATTAATGTAAGTTACTGTATAATACCAATGCAGTATGCAGAAATTTCACAGCCTTATTCTGATTTTTCCACATCTTCAGCACGAATGCTCATAATTTAAGAGAAGAGAACTACAGTTTTACTATTGTGCAAAATTATTTAAAAATTTCAATAATAAATTCTGATTGTTCAGTAAAATATTTCGAACAGATTGGAAGAACGTTAAGTCCCTTATGTATAAAAACCTTACTTCGGGTACTCCTTGGAGAAACTTCCATTAAATGTACTGGCGAATAGAAAAAGTAAGCAAATAATGGTACATTAAAAGATTCTTTATTTTTATTTAAAACATAGTTACCTGTTATGAAAAGAAATAGACTTATCTATGTTCCCGAAAGCAATTAATTTAGCAAAATATTCCTACAAAGCAAAATTCATTACACTTATCTTAATTTTAAAAATCAACTGCACACAAAATGACATAAATTATCAGCATTTCATTTATTGTTAAAAAATAGTTACCAAATGCAACCTATTTTCATAATTCATCTTCGATATTTGGATGTCAGAAATTCACTTTCTCATAAAAAAGGCGCGTTTCACTGAAGACCATATTCATATTGAATTTATATCTAAAATAACAATAAATTAACTATTCTTCAGAATTTTGAGCTTGAATTTAAAAAAATATCTATCAACACGTTTTATTCATTTACAAGTAAATTATTAATGGCCTATTTGTTAAAATTTAGAAAATTTAGAATACAATTCGAACTCTTCCTTAGTTAGGGAAATGTCTCTTTAACTAAGTCTTAAGCTTTAATGATGGCGATTTTGAGTAAATATCGTTACAAAGTTTAGTTCATGTATCTGGTCCCATCAGCGGCCTAGCAGTACAGACGCTAAACACTTGTAGTTACGTCCGGGGTTCAAATTATGGCAAATGGACTGCCTGCATGGCCGTTTTCGTGGTTTTCGCCACGTGTAACGGGTATAGGAGCAAGAAAGTTCTCCAGGAAGGCATTCCTTCTCTTAGGTAGATAGCCTTCGAGTGCTTTGCCATAATCAAATAAACCAAACCTTGTATCACTTTTCTTATCTCATTCTTACCTCTATTAACAAACTGCAAATTAAAAAACTACCGGTTTTACTTCTTTCGATTCATATTTATGCCATCAGTAACTTGGTTCTCAACTTAATGCTTCTTTCCTTTTATTTCGTGCCTGCACGCCATACCAATAAAGTAATAGGAACTTCTTTCGTCAGCCTTTAGTAATTCGTGAATTTAAGATTCTTAAATCAACTAATAGCAAAAAGTGTTTGCGTTTAATTTTAAGTTCAGCATCTAAGTAACATATGTAATAAATGTTACTTAACTATCGAATGCCAAGAGTACATTCAACGTTGTTGTATAATTTATGAAATTCAATTCAAAATAAAATCTCATTGTAAAAAGCTTTAAAATCAATACAAGTTTTTTATTAAAAATCCTAGGAATAAATGCAGGAAAAATTTAGAACACTAATAAAATAACGGAAAATGGAACTAAAACAGTGGGTTATATGAAAGTTTAGAAAACTAAAATAAAAAAAAAGGCAGGAGCAAAAGTATAGAACTATGTTCAATATGAAAGGAATCTTAACCATCTACAAACTAGGATTGTGACTCTATATTTTGATTTTAATTCTTAATTACCTTGTCAAATGTCCATTAAAGAATTCTACATCACCTTGTTTTAAAGTATTCGAATTTAAATTTCAAATATTTTACAGATTTAAAATACAGAAACCTTCACAAACCAGAAATATTTTCCAACCATATCCTACCCTCGTATACACTCATCAAAATTAACCTTATTCTACCTGTTTTAAATAATGTTAAATTTTTTTAACACTTTAAATGTTAAAATTTTAACATGTTAACAATGTTAAATTTTTTAAACGGCATTTTCTGACTTTGATTTTTTTGATTTCTGGTTTGGTTGATTTGTTTATGGCAAAGCACTCGAAGGCTATCTGCCTAAGGGGAGGAATGCCTTCGTGGAGATTTTCTTACGGGAAACTGGCTCGTATACTCGTTACACATAGGGAAAACCACGAAAACGCCCATGCAGCCAGCCCTTTCGCGGGATTCAAACCGAACTACCAGTGTTCAGCGACTTTACGCTCGACCATTGGTGGGCTTTAAAGATTGATATATTACAACTGTGATTTTATTGGAATTTTTAGAAGGTGTTTCCTCCAAGAATTTTTATATTTTGAGTTACCTCAGTTTCATTTCAGTAACCAAAGGAAACTGAATGTAGATTGTGCTGAATTTATTTGGTTGTTTAAATCTCCTCTCAAGTATTTCAAAGTTCCAAGAAAAATATGTTATGGAGTTAAATATAACTTTAATATTTAGGAAATACATATAAGTATTCGTGATAATACTTCTGATCATTAAAAGAAAGCAAAGCGAAAGCTTTTTTGGTATTCTGTACTGTAAAATATAACTGTGAAGAACTGTTATATTTTCAGGATAGAAATTTCGCAGAGAAAGTTTTAAATTTTCAGTAGTCAAAACTTTGCTAGAGAGATTTCTACAAATTTCTTTCAGTATGTTTTGGTATGAGGAACAATACTTTAGGCGTGTACTTCAATACTTACATGCAAGTAACGTCGTTTAACTAGCAATCATATTTACTTCTAAATAATGTTGTTGTAGACAATTGTCTTTTGAGAGTGCAAAGAAGTAAGTATATTTTGCGTAAGTAATGCTAGATAAGGAAAGCATCAATCTAACTACTTAATAGGTAGACAAAGAAACATAAACCAATGCATTCTCAGAAAATACCATTATACATAAAATACAATAATGTTTAATGCACAAAATATAAAATTTAACAGAAATTAATAATGACAGAAATAATTTCGTGTTCGATATTTAATAATTATTGTGGAAATGCATAGAGGCGTAAAATTAAATCATCTTAGAGGATATGATACTCAAAATTATAGCCAATCAGTTTTGGGAAAAAAATTGTGATTCATCTTGCAAAGAAACTTTTCCAACAACTCTCAATTTTTCTGAAAAAAATATACATTTGTAGAGTTGCGCGCCTCCAACCTGCACGCAACAAAGTGGTGACTGCTGAAACTGGGAACTAGACAGAGTCTTGAGAAGGGTTTAAGTCCCTTTTTATTCAACTTTAGAAATTACAAATGCGTGCTCTTGACGCTCACAAACTACGCCGACCCGGCGACCCGGCGGTAAAATAAAAATAAGAAACTGAAAAGAGATAATAACAAGAGACTAACTACGAGGCTCTCTAAACGTAACTAACCTCACCGCGTTCTACAATACCGCTGATAATTCAGCAAACTCTGAATATTACGTTGAAAGATTAACAATTTGCCTAGGCAAGCACACAGGCCGAAACGCGTGGTTCTTCAATTTCTGACTAACTACCTCCGCGCTCGTGAAGTAAGAAAAGCACACTTCGAACTCGTTTCCTTTCTATTTAACTCAGAATACTTCCGCTGATAATTTGAATCCTTGCGCGTTCTACTAAAATTTACATACTCT